GTAACACGTTGATCAACACATTGAGTAACACGTTATTAACATGTTGTTACACGCTGAATAACATTAGAGTAACACGTAGATCACACGTTAGTAACACACTGAATAACACCATGAGTAACACGTTAATAACACCCTGAGTAACACGCTGAATAACATAGGAATAACAGGTAGATAACACGTAAACAACACGTTGACTTAAACTTGTAGTAACCAGCTGAATATCAGGCTGTTACACGCTGAATAACACGTGAGTAACACGTAGATAACATGCGAGTAACACATTGAATAACACGCTCGGTAACAAGCTGAATATCAGGCTGTTGCGTGCTTAATAACACGTGAGTAACACGTAGATAACACGGGAGTAACACGTTTAATAGCACTTTGAGTAACACGTAGATAACACGGGAGTAACACATGAATAACATGGGAATAACACGTGAATAAATTAGGAATACCATGGGAATAACACATGCCTTGCGTTACTGCCCTCTTAATGCGCTGTCTTGTAGCGAATATTCCCCGTGTTACCGGCCGATTAATCGGTGTTACTCTGCGTTACCGCGCGTAATGTGACGTGTTACTACACTGTGTTACCGTCGATAAAATCAGTGTTACTCTACCTTTCGTCATGTTATTCACCTGATTAAATTTTTGCGATAAATTTTTAAACTATGTGAAGTATATTTTATAAGATAAATTAACTAGGATAAGTAATTTTTTATATTTATTAAAAATACAAACATAAAATCATAAAAACACGAAAATTCACCAAGATATGAATATTTTGCCCCATATATGGCCTGTTAGACTATGTGAAGCAATTCAATATACAGTAACACGGTGTAGTAACTGTTCATCGTGTTACTTACGTGTTATCTACTTATTATTCTCGTGTTATTCAGAGTATTACTCAGTTTGTTATTGACGTGTTACTCAGGGTGTTATTCAACGTGTTACTGACGTGTTATCAACGTGTCATTTTTTATATTTATTAAAAATACAAACATAAAATCATAAAAACACAAAAATTCACCAAGATATGAATATTTTGCCCCATATATGGCCTGTTAGACTATGTGAAGCAATTCAATATACAGTAACACGGTGTAGTAACTGTTCATCGTGTTACTTACATGTTATCTACTTATTATTCTCGTGTTATTCAGAGTATTACTCAGTTTGTTATTGTGTTATTCAGCGTGTTACTCAGCCTGTTATTGACATGTTACTCAGGGTGTTATTCAACGTGTTACTCACGTGTTATCTACATGTTACTCTCGTGTTATTCAGTGTGTAACAACATAACATGTAAATGACGTGTTACTCTAAGGGTGTTGATCAGCATGTTACTCAAGTGTTATTGACGTGTTACTCAGGGTGTTATTCAGCGTGTTACTCACGTGTTATCTACGTGTTACTCTCGTGTTATTCAACATGTAACAACATGTAAATGACGTGTTACTAAGGGTGTTGATCAGCGTGTTACTCAAGTGTTATTTATGTGTTACTCAGGGTGTTATTAAATGTGTTACTCAGGTTGTTATTCAGCCTGTTATTGACGTAATATTTAACATGTTTAAAAATACAAAAAAAAATTCATAAAAATACTATCATTCACCAAGATATGAACATTTTGCCAATAACCTTTAAAAATATTCAATATGCAGTAACCATGAAGTTATTCCATATACAATAACCTGTACAAATATACAAAGTAAAAATATATAAATTTGTACATTTTCATCTAAAATTTGAACCTCATGGGAATATCCCTTTTTTGAATCAGTATTTACAGCGGAAGTCAGAAGACGCGTCTAAAAAAATATTGTTAGAAAAAATAAAGTAGGAATATATATTATATAGTACAAATTAGAATGACGTACTCATTGAATGAGACAGAGATTCAATTCAAGAACACCATTTATTGCTCGTTCAACTTCTTTGGGGTCTTCATGGATTGTCTCATCACCCAAATCTGCGTCTTGTGCTTCTCTTATTGTTTCTTCGGCGTCTTGGGCCTGTTCAGGAACATTTGTATGTACAGGATCAGCTGGATGTACAATATCCTTTGTAGGATCAACAACATCCATATAGGTTGTACTTGTGAACAAAAAATCTGTGTCTTGTGCATGTCTTATTGTTTCTTAGGGAACATCTGTATATACACGAGCAATAATATCCACATCATCACTCTTTCTACGTCTTCTCTTGAACTGATATTGAGATACAAGGGGGTCCACTGTCCTCTTTTGCTGATGTCCACTGCTACTGATCTTCTTACTTTGGAGTTGAGTTTGACTTGTATTGGATATTATTTTCTCAACAACCTTGTCAGCCTTAGTTTCAAATAATCTGTGTACCAAACTTGTAAGGGTGGACAATATTTCTACTACAGTATTCATCTGTCTACTCATATGAGTCACTGTATCTTGTATATTTAAGCTTATTTGTTCCTGAGATTTCAACATCTCAAATAGTACCTCAAAATCAACACTCCGTCGTATGTCCAGGTACTGGGCTATATCATTATAAATAATTGTACCCTTAACATACAATATGGGTGAATATGGTCCCGCAGTAGTTTTGTGTTGTGGAAGTTGCTTTGCAGGACTCAGTGGTCCCTGCTCTGGATTTGCGAGCAGTTGTACTTCATCTTCCCTCAAATCTAAGAATTCATCATTAACCTAAAATAAAAATGTATTCGTCAAAATCGTTGCAATCATTCTTAAAAAGCTATTAAACAGAGGTGTCAATAAGATGTAATAAAAATTAAATGATTTACATGATCAAGTCTCTTAAAGACTTCATGAATCTTCTCAGCTTTCAACCCATGATTGGTTGGCCACCTCAGAATGCGAGGTCTAGCGTCAGGTGCAACAAGAGTTAACAGAGAGGTGTGCTCGTAAAACCAAAGCTGAGGATGTTTTACACCATCAACAAAACAAAAAATTCAGAAGAATAATGTTTTAATGTAAACAACAAATAATTATCGTTAAAATAAATACAAATCCTTAAATATAGTCAATCAACTTATTCTGCCTTAATTTCATCAAGGCGATTCTCACTTGATCGATGATCATATGACATATGGTAGCAGACCAATTAAAGGACAGAAAAGCTTGCACATTTACAGCAAAAGAAGATAGCTCTGCATGCACATGAAAATTGCTTGAAGGAAAAAATAAATTAGTTCGTATGAATTTCATATACAACTACTCAAAAGGAGTGGTGGAAGCTCCTTCTGCAAAAAAGTTTGTCAATTAGTTGTTTATTTGTCTGACATCCACTTTTGATAGGGGTCCTTTCTTCCATGAAATAGGCTCTCCTCTATTTGGCATCCCTATCAAAAACTATGTCATGGAGATATCTGTGAGTCCAACGAATTTGGTTTTATACAGTTATAGAGTAGGATTTTTTCTGTGCTAATGATTCAAATCCATGATGTGTTAGTCATGTGGTATTGCCGTGTTATTATTGTGTTTTTTTTATGTAGTACCGGTATATTACTGATGTGCTATGCTATTGATGTGATATTGTTGTGCTATTATTGTTGTGTTGGTGATATTGTTGTGCTATTGTTGTGTTGCTGATGTGTTACTTGTATTTCATTACTTTGGTTTAGGTGCATACCGTGATTTTAACGAACAACTGGACGCTATGGTCATCTTCGCTTGAGTGCCGGAGAATGCCTAGAGTTTCGTCAATAATGAAGGATGCGCTTCGCCGAGGAAGACGATACAGAGACTAAACCCTAAACTCGTAATAGTGCGGAGAAAATGAAAAGACATATTAGGCGTGTTCGGGTTTAGGATCGGGCCGGGTCGCGAATACAAATTAAAATTATATTTTTATTATTTTTATTTGCTTTAATAAGTAGGGCTGGACTTTACACATGACAGGGATTTGATTGGAGAAACACCTTAAGAACAATATTTTCTCCTCTTGCGGTTTCGCCCAAAGTGCTGTGTTACTTATGTGGTACTGATGTGATATTGTTGTATTTTTGATGTATTACTGGTATATTATCTGTGTGCTATGCTATTGATGTGATATTGTTGTGCTATTGTTGTGTTGCTGATGTGTTCCTTGTATTTCATTACTTTGGTTTAGGTGTATACCGTGATTTTAACGAACAACTGGACATTATGGTCATCTTCGCTTGTGTGTTAGAGAATACCTAGAGTTTCGTCAATAATGAAGGATGCGCTTCGCCGAGGAAGACGATACAGAGACTAAACCCTAAACTCGTAATAGTGCGGAGAAAATGAAAAGACATATTAGGCGTGTTCGGGTTTAGGATCGGGCCGGGTCACGAATACAAATTAAAATTATATTTTTATTATTTTTATTTACTTTAATAGATAGGGCCGGACTTTACACATGACGGGATTTGATGGGAGAAACACTTACCTTGAGATCAATATTTTCTCCTCTTGCGGTTTCGCCCAAACTTCCCATCTACGCCTAAACCGTGGCTCATCTCCCTTCCCCTCCTGGTTTCGCTCAAAGCCATCGCCTTACTTACCCTCACGATACAGTCGCCATTAGAGTCGGAAGGCAACGACGGATCGCGGCTTACATGAACCACCGAAATTCCCATCTTTCTCATTTTTCCGCTCCGCTCCTAGAAAACATTGAGGGAGGAAGGTAAGCCTGTTCACGCCATTCTTCCATCGTCAATAATGAAGGATGCGCTTCGCCGAGGAAGACGATACAGAGACTAAACCCTAAACTCGTAATAGTGCGGAGAAAATGAAAAGACATATTAGGCGTGTTCGGGTTTAGGATCGGGCCGGGTCACGAATACAAATTAAAATTATATTTTTATTATTTTTATTTACTTTAATAGATAGGGCCGGACTTTACACATGACGGGATTTGATGGGAGAAACACTTACCTTGAGATCAATATTTTCTCCTCTTGCGGTTTCGCCCAAACTTCCCATCTACGCCTAAACCGTGGCTCATCTCCCTTCCCCTCCTGGTTTCGCTCAAAGCCATCGCCTTTCTTACCCTCACGATACAGTCGCCATTAGAGTCGGAAGGCAACGACGGATCGCGGCTTACATGAACCACCGAAATTCCCATCTTTCTCATTTTTCCGCTCCGCTCCTAGAAAACATTGAGGGAGGAAGGTACGCCTGTTCACGCCATTCTTCCACTCCGCTCGTCCCGGATTTACTAAATCCGCCGATTCACGGGATTTACTAAATCCCGGATTTGCGTTGAATCGGCTTCATTTTAGGATTTGCCAAATCTCATGATTTACCGAGATGCATTTTGCTGTTTGCAGGATTCAGCTTATATTATGCGTAAATCCTGCTTAAAACCGGCTACTAAACAGCCCCTTAGGTTACAGTTGGGTACATACAATCAAATTTATGTAATAAGCTTGTGGATTATATGAAAACACGGTAAAGTCGGAACCCTCGCCTTTCTCCCTCAAATTCACATCCCCTAAAAATTTGCAACCCTCGACGACAAGGAATAGATGAAGTGGCGAAGGGAGCTTACTGGAGAAGCCATCTACGGGACATGTGGTTGTGAAGGAGAAGAGGAGGTCGCGAGACTTGCGGATTCTGTTAAATCCGTCCAATTCCCGAAATACTGAATCCTGGATTTGAGATAAAAGGGCAAGAAACGGGATTTAAGGTTCTGTTGGATTTGAAGTTATCAGTTATTCATTTTGCCAGAGTCTTAGGTTGAATCCTGCCGGAAAGTTTACTTTCAGACCCTTCTTCCATAATGAGTAGTTTTGAGCCTTTCAACAGGTATGATTCTTCATCAAAATTGGGGCTTCCCGATTATTCTTCCTCAGGCAGAATTCTTTTTTATTTCTGCTGCATACGGTTCCATGCGTTTCTTCCGCTCTGACCATAAATTATGGTTTTTTTGATGATGTTAAGACTGGTGAGGCTGGCGGCTAGGGCCTTCTACGATGACATTACCATGAAGGGCGATAACCAACCAAAGACTGGGAGGGGCGATAACCGGGGAATGACAGTGGTTGTGTTGGATGCGCTCACCAGGTATAAATTCAGCCTCAAGGACTAAAACCTTTTCATCTTTGTAGATAGCGTTCAAATGTATAAAATATTAAGAAAATTTCTAAATAATTCCAATTTGAGGATCTGCTCTGTGTAAATTTTTATAAAGCTTTTGAAAGACTTTGAATAAAACTGTTTTCATCTGCGGAGTTCTTTCATTGTATGTTGCAGCAGTAGAATATCGATTGACCATTGAAATAAAGTGGAACTGTTGTTGAAGCCACAACTTTATTGCTAGTTGACATAGTAAGGGGGTGTTTGGTAGCATACTTTTAACCGGATTTAGCCATGGCCGTTAAATCAAATATTCTCTGGCTCTGTCTATTTTTGACATAAATACGGACTTACTAAATCCGATTCACACGCTGATTTAAGGGAGTTATTCCGTTGTGGCTTATGAGCGTGTCTCCTTCAAATATAGATTTGATAAAACTCAGATTTACTAAATCCTATTGAACGTTACTCTGGGACGCAACCTGGTTGCTAAATTTATTAGGCGTTAGCTCAAGATATATATATATATATATATATATGTCTATACTGATTCTGAAAAGTTTACTTATCACTTGTTGGTTTCACCATGTTTGTTGATGCTACTAGTTGTTTATTTTGGCCCATTTTTTAATGGATATGAACATCCTAACTTTGACTCCTAAATTAAAAAATGACTCCTAAATAAATTTTCTTTTGCCTTTGATATGGGGGACTCTTCAAAATTAAACTCAGCCCAATTTGGCTTGAGTTGAGTAAAAAAATGGAATAGGGGTTATACATATCAAATTAAGGCCAATAGGTTTCTTAAGCTTAAAATAAGCAAGAGAACTTATGGTGTCAAGGTGCGACCTTAGTAATGCAAAATGGATCCAAAATAAGAAGCCTTGACATAATTTTTACCTAAATTAGCAAGGCAGATGAAAACAGTTGTTTATTTAAAATTTTGAAAACTTCAAATCTGCTCTACTATTAAGACCACACAATTAGGACTCATAACCAATATTAAGTGAATTTCAGTGAGTAAAGAACAATCTCCACAATTCAAGCCAAGCATGGAGAAAATCTTGAATATGGTCTTGCTTGTATCATAGCTTATTTATAGTGGATAGGAATTATCTTATACTTTCTATTTTTAGGGTTTATTTGAATATTATTATTATTTTTTGATTTTCTATCCAGGAATTTGATGGCTAAGAAACATAGTTTGTAACTAGGCTTTAAGATCAATGGAAATCAAGTGAAACATGTTTTAATGTAATCGATGTTAGTATTTTTTTTATTCCTTCTCCTCTCCAAAACCTGCCGGCTCTTAGTCTTAGGCATATCAGAGGCATTGAAAGATTTAAAGTTCATTTCACTAGTTTTAACTAAGAGACGTTAGTAATATTGTTATTTCGACTGCTGGTTGCATCTATCTGGAAAAGTAATTGCGATTTTTCATACCATTTCTTTTGTCTTACTGCTATATTATAGTGAATTTAATCACTATTAAAGGTTGAAAATGAGAGGAAACAATTCTAAAGAAAAGCAAAAGACAAGTCAAAGTAATGATCGAGAATTCTGCAATTCCATGCCAAGGAACCATTATCTTTGAGCTTTATTTTAAGAGTATATTTTATTTGATGTCATAATAAATTGAAATCTTTTAATGTCTCCTAAAGTAAGCCAAGTGGATGAAAAATCTCATTTGTTTTTGTAATTACCTGACTTACGAGCTTGAAATTATCAGGGGGAATTGTGAGTTTGACGGATAAAAACTATCTAACTGTTTCATTTCATGATTAAAATGAAATTCAAAATACGAAAGAGATTCTATTATGAAATTTAAAGATACAACAAATTTATATAGTTTTTTAAATATTTAGATTTGACAAAATAAAAAAATAACACAATATACCTATCATCCTGTGCTCCATGGCACCTATGCACGTACACTTGAGGGTCCGACAAGCTTAAAGTTAGTTTCTCTATAAATTGTTAGCAGCTGAAGGGTTGAGTTAAGTTACTCAGTGGACAAATATTTCTAAGTTACAATAATTCTCATTTAAATATATTTTGTAAAATTTTAGTAAACAATAAAAATAATTATGCAGTAAAAGAAAATAGTAAAAAACAATTTAATTTACTTTCATTTATCATGTTAACTTTTCATAATTGAGAGTCACCGTCTAAACATGTGCATAAATATATATATATATATATATATAAGCTTTTCCAGCCTTCCATAAAAGAAGACAATCATTTTTATTTTCATTTTATGGCACGCGCACATTGCATTTCCCCTGTTAGTACCATCCGAGGGTGATTCTCATATGCATGCATATATCATATATATATTTTTTTCATTTAATATTTAAAAGAAAGAAAAAACATGAATTTTTTGCATTTTAAAAGAAACACTAAAAAATAGTAAAGACGTTTAAAATAAATAAAATTATTTTAAGATAAATATATATTACCCTTTTGTATGATTTAGTCAAATTCTCTTTTCTCTAATCAAAATTTAATCTTTTGGCTCACTCACCCATAAGATCAATTTAATTTCTATTAGTTTTATTTTCATTTCATTTTAATTCTAACTATACTATTATTATTTAAATATATTAATGTGAAATTTCTGCCTAATTGGTAATTTCATAGAAATATTCAAATTTTCTTTATCCCCATGAAATTTTTAATTTATTGATTTTAACAAGTTTTCATTAATATTTATGCATATTATGACATTAACTAAATATATTTTATGTTAACGCTTTTAAAATTTTCATTTGGGTGTACCTAATTTTAAGAGTAACTTAATAATAAAAAAGTTTTAAACTTAGGTTTCTTTATTTCATTTTATCTTTAATTAATTAGGAAAAATCACAATTAATTATTAAAATCAAGTTTTATATCTGAATTCTTTTTGTCCCCCATTCTTTGACTTTGCTTCCTCGTCAAATTCCCTACATAAAGTCATTTTTATTTTTATTATTAATTTAAATTTAATTTAAATTATTTCATATTAATTACTAAAAATTTTTCTTATGTTAAACCCTTAATTCATTCTCGTCAAGCCCACAACCAATGAAATTGAGCCTTAAGCTCTGGATTGAGCTTCATGCACGATTGCTCCCTTCCTTCCTCGCACAGGAATCACAAATGGGTGAGGAGGGCTCGCGTGAGATGCCGCTTCCTCCTCTTCTTTCCTCTGCTCAGTTAGGGCACATGAAGCCGAATATTCTTCTCCTCCTCAATTCTATTCTGATACCTCAATAATTTTTCTTCATTGTACTCATATTTCTTCATCTGACTTGCATTCACCTGGTCAAATACTTTCTGAAACTTTTCGTCATGTGACAATGCATCTTGTATTATGTCCTTCAAAGTTTGTTGAATTAACATTTCAATAGTGCAAAACTTTCATCATTTGGTGTCACTACTGATTACTGTAACTGCTGCATATCTTTAATCAGTTCTTGCTGTGTAATTACTCGGTTAGATCTGCCACTTCCCTTTCTGTTCAGTGTGTCTGTCAGAACATTTACTTTCCCCAGGTGATATTGGATATTCAAATCATAATATTTAATTAGCTCAAGCCATCTTCTTTGCCTTAAATACTAATTTTGTGTGAAAATATAGTTTAAACTTTGGTGATTAGTGAATGCTTACACCTGACACCGTATAAATAATGCCTCCATATTTTCAAGCAAATATACCTGCTGCTAGCTCCAGATCATGTGTCGGATAATTCTTCTCATGAGTTTTCGGTTGTCTAAAGACAAGCAATTATCTTCCTATGTGCATAAGCACACATGCAAGTCCCCTTAAAAATGCATCATTGTTGATTTGGAAGCCTTCTTTCTCTGAGAGGATGGTTAATAATAGAGCTGTCATCAAACACATTTTCAATTTCTGAAAGCTTCTTCACAACGATCACTCAAAGTTCGTTGCCTTTCGAGTCAGTTTGGATAAAGACATTGCGATTTGAGAGAACTCCTAAACGAATCTTCTGTAAAAACTTGCCATACCTATGAAACTCCGAATTTACGTAATAGTGGTTGGTTTAGGCCAATCAATTAACAATTGTTTGAATTTTTTTTTTGGGTCCACTATGATACTTTCATTGATAATAATATGCCCCAAGAATATTTTTCTCCTCTGCCGGAATTCACACTTTGACAACGTGACATAACCGACTCTCCTTCAGTGTCTGTAGAACGGTGCAAAGATGATTTGCGTGATGAATCTCATCATTGTAATGAATTAAAATATTGTAAATGAAGACTATCACACATCTATCAAGAAATAGTTTAAAAATTCTGGTCATTAGGTCCATAAAGAAAGTTGGAGCATTTGACAACTAACAAGGCATTACCACAATCTCATAATGCCCGAATCTGGTGCTGAAAGATGTCTTTGCTATTTCATCTTCTTTAATTCTCAATTCGTGAGAACCTGCGCACAGATCAATCTTGGACTTAAACTCCCATCTCTCTTCTTAAAAAAAATCACTAGAGCTCTCCATGGGGAAGTACTTGGCGTGATAAATCCATTTTCCAATAAGTCCTGCAATTGTCTTTTTAATTCTTGCAACTTCTTAATTTCCATCCTATAAAGTACTTTTGCTACTGTTTCTGCACCTGGTATTAAATTGATAGAGAAATTCATCTCTTCTTGGAGGCAAACCTGACAAATCTTCTAAGAAGACTTCTGCGTACTCTTATACAACTAATATATCTTCCAACTTCTTGAGTTCTTTTACAATATCAATGACTTGAGTTAAGCAATCTTGATATATTTTTGCTAATAATTTGCATGCCTTTAAACTGGATATCACCATACATAGGACTTCTCTATCACCCACAAATTTGAATTCTTCTTCACCAGAGTTATTGAACTTGACTATTATTGTAGAGCAATCAATGATTCAGAAGTGATAAGATAACCAATCCATTCCTACGACCATTTCAAATTCGGTTTGTAGTAACACTATTAAATTCATGTTG